TACAAACCCAAATTTGAAATAAATATTAGAGCCTTTTAAATAATTCAAAACATGTTGAAACTCGATGATCTTTAAGGTCCTTTCCAACCTAAACCATTCTATGATTCTATGTACACCTCTTATTTTATAAGCTGAATACCAGAAGTAGCAAGGGGGAAACTTTCATTTTTTAAGGAAACAGCGTTAGACAAATGGGAAGCTTCAATATTGAGCCACTTCGGCTCTAAACAAGGTATACTAAACTGTCAGTACAGAAACCCACTTTTGTGCTTTAATAAGACAAGGGAAGGCAATGAAACCTTGAACCAGATCAACTGTCTTCAAGTAATAGCAAATCAAACTACTAATATTGGAAAGTGTTTCAGTATCTCTTCATAAAAAATGATATGCCCACATGACAAGAAAGAGTCACACTACTAAAATGTCTGCAAGAATAAACTTAGTTTCCAGTATGACAGAAAATTATTTGAAGGCACTATAACACAAAGCCAAATTTCAAATATTGGCAAGATTTCCATTAAAGTTTTCTTCAGATCTGAAAAGTCTGATGTCAAGTTAGCTTAGAGTTTCAGTTGCCTCTGATAAGGGAATATGATATGCCATTTTCTCTCATTATGACATTTTTCCCTTTCTTACAATAAAATTACTGCTCATAGACAATTGGTCCTGTTCTTTCATTTTGAAATATCAAATACTACTTAAAATGCAGCAACTCTAACATTCATATAATTGCATTTTTATGGTATAAGTTTTTTACTTTTACAAACTTCTTTTTACACATTATTCTACATTTTAACAAATCATAAACTTGTCAGCTACATGTGGAAGTAGTGGCTGCACATAGGCTAATAAAAATCGACACAAAACCAAAATTCTGAAATAGTTAACTTTTTTTAAAATATTAGGATTGGTAAAGTTATGAGTTGCTGAAAAGAAGTGGAAAGAAAAAAGTATTAAGTATATTAACTATAGCTACTTATACTATTCTAAGACTATAAGCCTGAATCAGCCAGACCTGCATATCACACTGGCAGATTGCACTTAATGTTAAAAGAAAGAGCCGCTGGTGGAGAAAAGCGATGTAATATTCAGGTGATTAAACATTTTGAAAAGTTTTCAGGAATTTTATCAATTGAGAGTAATTAATGTGAATTTTATTAAAAAAAAAAAAAAAGAAATTAAGTTAGTACGAAATCAAATTTAGCAAGCAATTACTATATTTCCACAGTCATTTGCTGGCAAATCACCACAGTTATTACAGCAGTATTAGTCAGAAGCAGAAGCTACCTGTGAAATAATAGCAAAAAACCTCGTAGCGCTGATACGCATGGAGGAAATTTCATAGCTGTGCTGGATTTGCACATCCATTGCTATGTCACTGATCTTCCTCCCTGATAAAGCGACATTCTTCAATTCAACACAAGGAAAGCCATTTTTACCGACAGGAAAGAGAGTACTACAAAATACTTTCTTATAATTATATCAATTACATGCAACTTTCTGCAGTCTCAGCAATTGGGAGGAAGGAAGACAATAAAGAACAAGTTTATCTATAAATCTAACTGAAGAAAAAAAAAGAGAAAATGCAGATATAGCGGATAATAATATGTATTTTGCAAATGGGCATTGCCTCACAGTTTGTCAAACGCCTTCCCAACTACTGTAGGAAGGCCCTAGTAATTGTGATTTTTTTGTCATACTGCTGCACCAACCAACCAGTAATTTACACTCTCTGATTGCCTTTCAGGGCCCTACCTGATTGCCTTCATGAGAAAAACAGAATATTTTCTGAAATTGACAGAAATAAGAAGAGAATGTACTATATCCTTAAATCCGTTAAGAATGAAAGAAAAGGTGGGGAAGTAAAACAGCCACATGTATGCTAATTCAAAGCTAACTGATTCATTTATCATCATCGCTAATTTTGTATCCTTGTGTACCCCATGCCTTCTGTTCAGATTTTGATGAATATATTATATATTTTTTTGTAGTTATTCAACTGGAATTATACATACAAATACCCCGAAAACCCAGCTAACTGCAGAGAGGCAGATCTGGGCAAGATAAAAGCAATCCGTGTCTCCCACAGAAAGAAATGTAACACTGTTTCCACAAAAGAGCAAGCCTAGCCAGAGGGAAGTCTGTAATATGCAATACATTTTCAAAGTGTTGTTAGGTACTAGTATCATGACACAGAAATACAGGAATTCTTTAATTAAAAAAAAAACCAACAACCAACCAACCAACCAAAACAACTGAAGAAAAACAAAACCCAAAAGGAATTACAGCAATAACAAGTAGACAATACTTACTGTCTCAAATCAATTGGGCAATTTTCCAGGTCTCTCTGTCTAGTTGTAAATATGGTTGACACCTGGAAACTTTACCTCCCAACAGGTGGTCATTCAACAGTCACAAATGTACATATTATAAGCTCATCAGCTGCGTTTTTAACACCCTAATTCCTCACTGAGCTCAGATATGGTTAACTCATGTAATGGTAAAACTACCTACGCAGCACAACAGCGTAGTGAAATGAAGCTGGATAAAGTCAGTCCCAGAGTAGGATTCAGCTCACTCTAATTTCAAACATCTACAGTGTAGTTGCCAACAGGTGAGATCAGCTTCTAACCTGTCACAGAAGTCAATGGAGTTCTAATCAATATAGTCAATGGAGTCTAGAAAGCAAGACCTTTCAAACTGAAGAGTTCTCAAGGCTCTGCTGACTAGAGGTAGGACACAGCTTCCCAAACATACTTCTGTGACAGTGTGTTTCCCCCCCCTCCCCGATCTTTATCTCCTGTAACCCTACCCAAGCAATAACCACCTGTGGTGGTCATAACGAGTGCATGTAGTCGTGATGGTGGCATCTGAGCTCAACATGGTTTCGGGGAGACAGATAACAACACAGTAGCCAAGGGGCTAACTTGAGCAATGCTGGTACTGTGGTCAATATGCAAATATGAGTATAGGTCAGTCATTTTACCTCCATAAACACTGAACAGCCCAAGAGCCCTTTGAGCTCTCCTGAATGGCAGTGGGCTGCACGCCAGGATCTTCCCCTGAGTACGAACGCTGCTCAATGTTACTCGAGGTTCAGATTCCTTGCCATGATGGATCCTCAGTAAGTGACTAACAGCACGCTAAACTTTGAAATCTTAGCTAAGTGGTATAAAGGATTAAATGTGCATATATAATCCTTTAGACATAAACCGTTGACCAAGTCTGGGACTAGGTTTGGATCAAGCTGCACCTAGACTCCCCTCTGAAAAGGAGTTTAGAAAGCAAGGGAGTCCTCGCTGAAACCTCATGACTCAATGGGAGGGTCTCCCTGACAGTTCTGTCTAACCCTGTCCCGTATGCAGTAAATAACCAACTGTGCCTTGCTGTCTCAAATTTTGTTAAAACACTGTTGCATTTACCATCAAACTTTGTTAAATACATGGTTTATATCAATAAATATATTGCTGCTTCTCTCTGAGTGAAGTGCATCACTCCATCTGCAACACCTTTTCAGTGTGATTTGACATGCCACAAGGTATCCAAAATATCTACGCAGAACAAGCATGTTTGACAAAGGATGCACAGGACACCTGCATCCTTCTGAAAGGCAGGTGGGATGCCCCACAGAAACTAAAATGTTGGTAGAAACCCATATTCAGGCAACTGACTCCTGCGTTCCACTGTCTATAATCAGCAGACATTGAACTCACTCAGATGGAGACACATTCATTGTAGGTACCAAAAATGAACTTAATTCAATTTTGGCAATGAGAATCCAGAATCAGTGTAAATGGAAAATGTATTTTATCACCGACAAAAATTCCACGCGAATTAAGTAACCACCACAGTTAATTTTCATAATCAGTATTACAAACTTTTCATTCAAATGAACAGAGAACAGAAACACAGTGTGTTTTTGTTAGGTATCTTTAAAGCAAATCTTAATAATTTTATGAGGAATATAACTTGTTTAATATCATACTAGTAGAGAACTACAAATGAGGTCCCAACTCCAACAGCAGCTCTTCCTCTGAGCCTCAACAATTACAACTTCACTGCCTATTAGGATACCTAATCTAGGATAAGCATTGTTCCTTCCATTTTTAATTATTAAAAAAAAATATTGAAGAAAAACCCTATGCATACAGCTCACTAACAAATGAAAAATTATCCAATAACTTCCATATGTCACATTCTTAAATATTTGGATATGTGACAGCACTAAAACACACCCCAATTATTCAATTTGTCAGCATGACAGTAATAGTTACGGAATAAAGATAATTAATAAGTTCTCCTATGCCAATTAATTTTTAAGAGACTTTCAGCCAAATCCTCCCTGCTTTACACAAGTAGTCAGCTAAATGTAATGACATTACAGCTGGACTGTATAGGATTAGAATGATTTGATGGTCTGGTTAATACACATCTGTTACATGCGATGTTTATCCTGTATGTATTACTACTGTATTTTATTGTTGCTGCCATTCAATGCTTCCTGAGCTAAGCTAAGCACATGACTGTAAGCGAAGTTAAATCAATCTCTATTTTATAAGGGTAGAGAAAAAAAAATAATAAACTGGAGAGATCTCAGCAGTGACAACTGTAAGTTTCCACTTTGTTTTCAATGTCACTTAGGACTACCAATCATTCAAACCCCACAAAGGTTTCTTTGGCATACGAAATACACTTAACATTTCCTCTCTGTTACAGAAGATGAAAATTCAGTGATTTTAGCATGTTTCCTAAAGTATGCCCACATAAGTATATGCTATGCAAGAGTTGGACTCTTCTGGGAATACATACAGACGTAAGGAATTATCACCAGAGGTGTATGACACACCAAAATTACTTGCATATTCCCTCCGCTGTTGACCACTGGGACTGATTATTGCCATTACCTCCTTTGTCTACAGATCCAAGGAGCTTTCACACATTTACATAAATCTTCCTACACAGGAAATCCTTACATTTTCTTTCTTATGTATTGTACTTACCTAATCCTTTAGGAGTAATGCCACTGCTATCAGCAGGATTCACCACCCAGTAGTAGTATTTAAGTGTGTGCATTAACTGCAGTACTGTTCCTACTCTGCGTATAGTGTTATAGATCGTAGCAGTTCCAATGAATTCAGCTGACAAGTAGGTGTACAAAGACAGCTGCACCTGAAGAATGAAATAGTTATCGACATAAATGTAAGTTATATATTAATAAGCTTAATTTTAGGGTTTTTTAGGATTTACTTTGGATATGATATAAAAAACTAAAAAAATAATGAAACAACTTTACTTAGGGCTGGGACTGGACTGATGCCTGGAATGACCTCCAGATGTCCCTTCCAATCTAAATTTTCTTTGAATCTATGATTTATGTCACGATAAGAGTACTGGTTTGTTTTCTATTTTGGCTTTTTATAATAAAAGTATATCTTATCAGACTTTAGTACCATGCCACTTTTCACTTTGATCCACACTCTTCAATTGTGATTATTTAGCAAAACAAGTAATTCATTATCACCAGAGATGAATGATAACCTTTTATAGTTTTTATCAAGACAAAATACATAATTTAAAATGAAAGTTTTTGTGAATGTGTAAAAAAAGATATCTTGCCTTTTACTTACAATTTAAAATACATACTTTTATGCATAATCTTCAGGGAAATAATGTAACACAGCCAGTGAAAAGGGGACTGGGTTACTCGAAACAGTCTTTTGATAGAATTATCCAGAATCTTAGGCTATGAATTAGCCAGAATCTTAGAAAAATGTAACGACTTTTACAAACTTTTTCCAAAGACATTGGAAAATACAGTTAAGCAGGGTATAGACTTCATGATCTAAAAAATCTTTGTTATTACCATGTTTTAAAATAAAAAAACCTAAAAACCTAAGCACCATGATATAAAAGAATACTTGTAGGTGCGTCATAACATATTTCAAGTATACAATTACCTTTGCAGGGGTGTGTATCCAGATAGCAGGATTAAAAAGGATGTGATCACATAATTGCTTCAGTAGAGGTGCTCCATGAGACAATCCATCCAAATATTTCGCAAATGACAAAAATTGTTCCAGAACTGCTCTGGTTATATGAACCCTAGATGACTAGGGAAAAATAATCAGAAAGAACAAATATAAAGGAAAACTTGCTTCCTTACTATACTTACAGCAGAAATATGAAGTGATATTTCATCAGGCTCACCTTTACTAAATTCGTTCAACCTTATATGTTTTTATGTCATTGAATATGAAAGGAAAGTTAAGAAAAAATATCAGCAACTTACACTTTCTAATAATATTCATGGTCTTTCTAATGGCTACATTTAACAGATTAAAAATACTCATAAATAACTGAGATTAGAACCTTTCTTTTTTTTTGTTAGGTTTTTTTTTGTGTGTGTGTGTGGCTTTGCTTTTGTTTTGTTTTGTTTTATTATAATCCAGTCAGGATTTTACATTTTACAGCACAGTGCCTTGAGAACTTTGCCTGAAGTCCTTAACTCTTCTTCATTTAATTATGTGTCTTCCTGAAATTGAGTTTCTCAGTATGTAAACAGGCATTATGGGTAGACTTGCTTTTGTTTCTTAAACATAAATAGGTATTTGAAGGATTTGAGTTCATGGTTTCCTCAAATTTCAAGGAAGTCCTGCAGTTTCATAGCACATTCTATAAAATCACTGTTGAGATCTGCTCCTCTGCAGTAATATGGCATGTGGACTTTCACAAATTCTTTACATACTAAGTTAACAAAAGGAACTGTAAGTAAAGTCTGGGAACACGCAGATTTGTTATTTTTAGAAGTGAAGTCCATTTGTCAGTAATACAAGTTCAGCCTAGATGCTGTTTCCTTTGGCTTGTATGTCATAATTCACAATAAATAGTCTGCAACTAATAAGAACAGAAATGTTATTTTGATGTTCAAGCCAGAGGAAAAAAAAAAAAAAGCTTTCTGTCCTCTCTGAAGTATTTGATCACATGCAAATGAACAACAGATAATTTACAAATCATAAAATTGAGCCTGGCTAGGAAACAAAAGGATTTTTTCCTGTCATGTGTGCCAACTGAATACAAGCATATACTGAAAAAATAAAATATATAATTTTGAAAAACTACAGCTAAGGAGAATATAGCATAGCCCCCCCTAGAAAACAGCATATGCTGTAAAAAATATGTTGTGACAGAAATCAATCAAAATCCTTTAAATATTCACATACCCTGAATTTAATGATTGTAGCAGGTGTTAATTAGAATAGTATGCAAACTTCTTTTCAAAAAAATTCATGTACAACATTCTAAATCGATGCATTCAATGTGTGTAAACCATAGTGCTCTGTTCAAGAGAAAGGGACTCCATGAGGACTCACTAGCCTGACTGTATATGGCTTACAAAACTGGAACTAACAGCTTTGTAAATTCACAGAATCACACAATGGTCAGGGGACCTCTGGAGGTCATCTAGTCCAACCCCCCAACCAGAGCAGGGTCACCTACAGCAGGTTGCACAGGACGGCGTCCAGGCGGGTTTTGAATGTCTCCGGAGTGGGAGACTCCACAACCTCCCTGGGCAGCCTGTGCCAGCGCATATGTCACAAGAAAACCTACCACTGGAAAATAAATACACCTTAGACTAGTTCTTCAACATTCTAAATCACAATAGCTTAGTCCAGAAAACACAGGAGCTTAGAAAATAATCTGCTTTTAGGTATTAGTTCAGTGAAGGTAAAATCTTTCCACCATAAGAAGGTATTTGCCTGCTGGAAGTAGCATAGGGAGCAGAATGAGAGAAATTATTTATCATTCTTCTTCAAAATTCAGTACATTTTTAAAGGTAAGATTATGGTTATTTCATTTCACCATCAGACAACAGAAAGCTCTGGTCATAACTTCTTCTCAATTGATTGTTATACTGAGCTTATGTGAACAAAAAATACAGTAGCAGACATGCAAGAATGTCAGAGCCATGAGATTCAACCATAAGAGTATTACTCTCTTAATACAGTAGTTTGTTTTCAGATTATTGAAATTTCTGCATCAGGAACAGTGTAGCCAGCAGGGCTAGAGAAGTGATTGTCCCACTGTACTCGGCACTGGTGAGGCCGCACCTGGAGTACTGTGTTCAGTTTTAGGCTCTGCAGTACAGGAAGGACATTGAGGTGCTGGAGAGGGTCTGTAGAAGGGCAACAAAGCTGGTGAAAGGTCTTGAGAATAAGTCTTATGAGGAGCGGCTGAGGGAACTGGGGTTGTTTAGTCTGAAGAAAAGGAGGCTGAGGGGAGACCTTATCACTCTCTACAACTACCTGAAAGGAGGTTGTAGAGAGGTGGGCATTGGTCTCTTCTCACAAGTTACAACCGATAGGACAAGAGGGAATGGCCTCAAGTTGCCCCAGGGGAGGTTTAGATTAGACATTAGGAAAAACTTCCACACTGAAAGCATTATCAAAGACTGGAACAGGCTGCCCAGGGAAGCGGTTGAATCGCCATCCTTGGATGTATTTAAAAGCCATCTAGATATGGTGCTCAGGGATATGGTTTAGAAGTGGGCCCGGTAGAGTTAGATAACGGTTGGACTTGATGATCTTAAAGGTCTTTTCCAGACATAACGATTCTATGATTCCATTAAATCGTAGTAACATGAGGGCTTTGGGCCAGGAGGCAGGTAATGTTTCTCAGACAAGCATCTGTACTGAACCTCAATTTTGTGATAACTGCTTATCATGTCTGAAAACAAGCAAGTAAAGGGAATGGCCGTTGCAACTGTTTCTTTCAGAAATGAAGTTATTTTACAGTTTTTCTTCTTCAAAACAGAGAGCAACTATTTCAATAATTTCAGAACTGAGTCACAGAGGATTAACTTAATTTTTATTAACATAGATCTAAATTACGACATGTCTGCAATACGCTTGTACAAACTGGGCACAAGATAACTTTCCTAAATGAGAGTTTGGGGGACAGAGAGTGGAGAAACACAAATGAAAATACATTAAAGTGATTCACAAACAGATCTAAAGTAAAATCGTAAATTAGACAAACAGGATCAACTCCAGAAAACTGACTGTTTGAATATTGACATATAAGAAGATAGCAAAGATTAAGAGACTCCTGTAGACAACTTTTAAGTATTACAATTCAAAAAAATTTTCTATCACATACATATTTTATTCCACCCGTCCTTTTGAACTAAATGATTGAAAATACCACAGTGACAGTAGAAATACTAAGAACAAAGATAAAAAAACCTCCAAACATACCTTTTCAAGGAGGTAGCCAATGACTAGAAAGCCTTTTCCACCAAGCATTTGTTCTTGCATGGCTACTGAACTCTTAAGAAGCTCAACCAAGAAAGCCAATAGGGTAGCACTGCATGTAAAAAACAGGCATTTTTTCAGATTACAAATGTAGAAGAATCAATCTGTTACATTCTCAATATTTACCAGCTATTAAGAGAACAGAGACAGGCTTAAAGTGATAAACAATTCTTTGAAAGAATACAAATCTTACTGTTTCTGACAAATTTCTCTAACGATTGTTCACATATTACCGCAGTAGGAGTGGGAGTTCGTATTCAAAAAGAAGTGCAAAATCATTTTGTCAGCTCTCCTGATTTGACCAGGACTATCTCAAGTTCTAAATATCCAGTCCTGCTACTTGCAGGTCTATCCAAAGGTTTTGCAGTTGGAAGAGGCAGGAGATGATGAGTGTGATCCAGCTGACAGTGCTAGAATGATGCACGCAAGGGCCATGTCAACCAATTACCATCCAGACTACACTAAAAAGCAAAATTTGCAGCCACTGGGAATATCATCATCCCACACTTTCAGTCCCTAGTGTCACTACTACCACAGAAATGAGGCATAAAATGGCTGAACATGCACGTGGGCAACCATGCCCACCACAAACCACAGTGGAACAACACCAGGGTGGAGAGCTTCCTTCATACTTTCTCCAGACCGAACATGTCAATAATATCTAGGCCCGACAAAATAAAGGCTGAGAATCACTTTCATCCAGTTAGGAAAGCACAGGGGACTACCAGAGGCCACAAGGAAATCGCCCAGCAGCCCATCCCAGCAGTACCTGTGAGGTGTTCAGGGAGCACAGGAGGGGAAAAAAGTGGCCAGAAAAGGTTACTGTTTAGAAACAGAAGAGATATGAAAGACTTCAGGGGACAGACTTGGCAAGAAAGTGAAACTGTGTTAGAAAAACCAGCCGAGGAAACATATGGCAGATGAATGCATCGTGGGAGAAAAATCACAATTGACTCTCGTGGTGGTGAGAGGGAAACAAAAATATGCTCATCTGTTGCTGAAAATCCCAGAGCACCGGGAGAAAGGAAAAACACCCACATTTATGACAGAAAGGAAATATCTAAAATTATTTGTCAAATATATCGAAAAGGTAGATGACAGAATGCATTCTACTGCATATACGATGCATACATAAAGTCACTATTCCTTTTCTAAAAATAAAATAGGTATAACAATTCCTAGATGTACTGACAAATATCTTCAACCATGAAGGTTTTCACACAGGTGGTAGGTACAGGCAAGGGTGAAAACCGTGGCTTTTGCAGCTATGAAAAAGTGAATTAAAGAAATGTTCCACCTGCATTTTGTAAATTTCAACTTTACTTACAGTAGGTAGTCAGCTAAAGTTCTCTTGCTCTCCAAATACAATCTTTTACTTTGAAATAAATGTTGAGATTGGTTAATCCATGCCAGCACCAAAACATAATGAATTTGCTGAGGAAAACAAGATTTATTCTATTTGGTGAGCAAGGCTGCCATGCGAAAAGTACACAGTGTAGGCAAAGTACATGCTGTGAACATGAAATAGTGCCTTGTCTTGCTTCATTGTTGAACGGTCACAATAATCAGTCTAAAATCACATACAGAATGCTCCACAGAGTGCCAGCAGTAAAAGAACACAGATAATATCCATTTACAGTACTCCAAAGCATTTATTAAAACAGCTTGTCAAGCTGTCACATCAATTTCAAACCAGGTCATATGCATCAATTTTTTGTTACCCTGACTGAAAGTTTCTATTGTATTTGTCATCTAAAATAAGATACTCATCATTTTTACTACATGACAATCCATAAGAAGCTCATGTAAAGGGCTGAAGATTTATATTTAGAAACTTAAAAAAAAAATAAAATTGGAATAGGTCAAAGAAAATTCCATACAGATGGTGCTTACTATCATCCTTTATGAGTAACCTTATCACTTAGGAGGAAAACCCATTATGCATAAAGTTAAGAAACAGCATACATCTTTGCCAGATTAGCACCTAAATTACAATAATAAATGCTACTAAAAAGATTTAGAAGATTGTTGTACCTTGAACGTGGCACCAGACAAGTTTAAAAGGTTCTAATTCCAATTCTATAAGTGATTTATCAAAAGCTTTTTTCTTTGTGTTGCAGTTTATTTGTCCATTCTATGAACTTAGATGTAAACTCATGGGCTGGAGTTATTCTTATCTCATATTAACACAATTTCTATGCAATTGTCAGAAATTCTGACAGGACTCCAAATACAAGCTACAAGACACACTGACACCCTAACAATAAAGATTTTTGTCTTTCTTCTTTTTCAGTGCAGATAAATCACACCAGTCAACTCAGAAATAATCAGTGGCCAGTTAATATTTAACCATGCCACAGACAGAGAAACATATAAGCTGGTTCTATGCAAGAAAGGCTGAATCAACAAAGTTTATTAATTCAGATGCAAATAGAGCCCGAATATCACTTTTTAGATATTAACTGTCTTTATGTGGGGTACGGCTGTCCTGATTAATCCTGCCTGCCCACATTAGCTCTGCAAAGAGCTACCTTAGCTGTCAGCGCAAAGCAATGCCAATGTTTCTAGTTCCAGGAAAACATATTAATTCAGCCAATACTTTTGTGAATGAGTTATGCCTTTTCCTAAGTCCGAAACGGTTTTAACATCTATCGAACCAGACATATAAAGACACCACAAGCCAGCTCTGCAGAGTCAGCTCAGGTCCGCAAGCAGTAACTCTAGCTTCTAATCCTTCTGCATTATCCGAGATTACCACCATAAATAATAGAGTTGACTGTGGTATATAGTAATTCAAATCTTGGGACAGCACACGTGAATGCATCATTACACTTTACACCTTCGAGCACATAAAAAATTCCAAGTACCAGAAATAGCAGCAGTTAAGAAGAACCACCTGGTGCTCACATAGAGGCACAATGAAGTTTGAGGTGAATACTGTATAGGACCACAGGATTGACGAAAATTAGCACCATAATTAAATGTAACTAGCGGTTTGTCCACATCATTATGCAGGAAATTAAGTAATTAAAAGATCTGTAATATTTTAACTGATAGAACAACCCTAAAATCCAAACGGAAGCGTTTTTAAATTCTCACTGCATGGACAGCCCTGAAGCTATTACTACCTGAAGATAATGATCAAGAGACGGGCAGAAAACAGAATGCATGCTTAGTCTGATTTTTTTTTTTTTTCCAGAAATCTTGCTTACACGTGTTTCAGGTGAAACGCCTATTTTGGAGGAGGAAGGAGGGAATGAAACTGCACTAAATAACAGCTGCTGCAAACCCCACTGTTTTTATATGTTATCTGCCATGTACTATATGTTAGAGAGCACTCAGTCTGACTAAAAAGACCCAACTGTTAACAA